CAGTGAAATGACATAAATGCAAGAGAGCAGTTTTCAAAGCAGCTGCTGAAGTACTCTCCTCCAGCCACCAGCAGCCTCATGTAGGGGTAGCTGGGGCAAGCCCACCATGGACAGCGGGCAAGGGAGAAGCCACCAAATCAGCCAACCCAGGGAGGCACACTGGGACTTCTGAGCTGATTTGGGTTGGACAAGACAAGTGGTATCGAGAAATACCTCTCACCTTCATTCCTTTTTGAGGCAGGTCCAGTTTGAAGCCTAAGTAACTACAAAGATTAAAGGAGATAGCAGTGGGGTCAGTTTTACACTTTATAAGAATTTACCACCAATCTTTCCTGTTAAAAAGTTTAAAAAACTTATACTTTCCTGATTTACTATATCTGCAAGCACAGAAAAAACATCTTACAGTTTAAGGGTCTAAATGGCCACTTAGAATACAGAACATGTAGGTATAAGGACCTCACAGCAGGTCTTGGATTCTGCCCAAAGTAAAATCATACCTAATATTCAATCACCAATTTACTATCTCCTCTTCTTTCTGAAAATTCAACTATTGGCCAAAATTTCTTTACTCCAATAAATAGCTTAGTGTATTTAAGTTACAGCGTAAGTCCCCAATTTAAAAACAACAACAAAACACTCCAGCGACACCTGGGTGGCTCAGTCGGTTAAGTGTCTGCCTTCAGTTAAGCATCTGCCTTAGGCTCAGGTCATGATCCCAGGTCCTGGGATTCAGCTCCACGGAGGGCTCCCTGCTCAACCGGGAGCCTGCTTCTCCCTTTGCCTGCTGCTCCCCTTGCTTGTGCTCTCTCTCGGACAAATAAAATCTTAAAACAAAACAAACAAATTCCTCTTTTTGCCCTAGGTTTTTGAAACTAACAGATACAGATAAAATTTAACATACAGCAATTCTCAAGCACTAAACTCTTCAACTGTACAAGCACCCATAATTTAGGATATTTTAGAGTAGCAGGGGAAAAGAAAGTAAACCTCAACTCGCACTCAGATGAATTTCCTCAAGGGCCAAGTACATCATCCTTGTTGTACATGAGTATGTGGAGACAAAACCGATGATCAGTATCTAATACGACCTCTCTTCCTTTCACTGCTAACAAACCCCGAATTAACCTGATCTTGTCACATTCTATAAAATGCTCGTGTGCAGATATTTCATAACAACTATTGTTCAACTTCCAGGAAACATGTAACTTCAGTTATGAAATAAGTGCCAAGACAGTTTGCAAACACAAACAACAGTATAGGAACTTAGCCACTTCACAGAAAATTAGAATTCAGCCATGAATGAGGTGCATGGTCTCTAGCTCTCAATTCTAGTACTCTATTTGGAAGGAAAGGAGAAGTCAAGGTATCTAGCAGGACTGGCCATGGTACGGTTATTCTTTTGGCCAGAGGCATGGGGAGGGGTAGTCATTAGAGGGCTGGTGATTAGAAGCATTCCAGCCACATTCCTCTGCAGCAGAAGGGCTGTAAACGCAGCTGCAAACACTCAGCCACCAGCAGCCTGCCTGGCTTGTCAGTGGACACCCGGCCCCATAGTTTTTGTTGAACGTATGCAAGAGATTAAGAAGGACTTGGGAGATATTCAAACTGAGCTACAATCATCTACAAATGGGTTTCCTTTAATACCGATCTAAAAATACTGGAACCTAAGCCCCCTGTTCAGTAAAACTGGGTGATGAAGGGGGATGGCGAGTATCTGCAGATATTAGAAACTGTGAAACACCCGAAAACATTCCTATCTCAGTGCCTGTGACAGGACATCTAAACAAAACTGTGCACTGCTGAAAACTCAAAGTAAAGCAAGGTTACTACTGCCATTAGAAAAAAAGATGTAGGGGCACCTGGATGGCTCAGACGGTTAAGCATCTGCCTTCTGCTCAGGTCATGATCTCCAGGTCTTAGGATCGAACCCCACAGTGGGCTCCCAGCTCAGCGGGGAGTCTGCTTCTCCCTCTGCCTCTGTCTCTCCCCCGGCTTGTGCTTTGTCTCTGTCTCTCTCTCTCTCTCTCTCTCAAATGAGTAAAAAAAAAAAAATTTTAAAAAAAAAAAAAAAAAAAGGAAAAAAAGATGTAGCTCATGACGAAATGTTAAGTGTCAGTCCAGTAGGTCTTTATGTCACACAGGTATTAATTCAATAGGATAGTAAACTCCTCTAGAGTGAAACAAGCTCCCTCAGTATGTTGTGAGCTTTTTCTGGTAAGCAAAGTTTATCAACAGGGGGCCTGGGTGGCTCAGTGGGTTAAAGACTCTGCTTTCGGCTCAGGTCATGATCCTAGGGTCCTGGGATCGAGCCCTGCATCGGGCTCTCTGCTCAGTGGGGAGCCTGCTTCCTCCTCTCTCTGCCTGCCTCTCTGTCTACTTGTGATCTCTGTCAAAAAAAATAAAATCTTAAACAAAAACAAAAACAAAGTAAAGCTTATCAACACAAAGGGAAAACTACCTTTCACTTAAAAGCTGCTAATCTATTCTTCTGCTGAATTTAAACAACATATTGAGAATAACTAAGTTCGATCTGCATAATTGAAATTTTCAACTCCTTCAATTAAGCATCCAAGAAAATTCAATGCTTCACCACCAACAAGCCAGCTAAATGGAGCACCTTATAGAAAGACCAGCTCCTGGAAACCCTGCTGCTGAATAATGAAATGTGCTACCAGGCATAGAGCGAATCACTCAGTGGTTTCAGATTCTGGCCCAAAAAAGCAGAAAGTGCTTTCTAGTTGGGCACTTTCCACACATCCTGGCTTCTTAACAATGAATTCATCAACTCCTCCAGTCCCTCTTTATTCTTAAACAAGATTGATCCAGAGGGGTCTCTACCAATTAATCAATTAGTTTTATATTCTAAAATTATAACCTGGGTAATTTGCCATGGCATACTACTGTTTAGTATCCAAACTCTTAACAACAAAATCAAGTACTCTTCTAGATTAGAAACTGGACGGACTCTCTTAATGCTATTACAGTCATTTGGATTTCAGGTTGCTGGGTCTATTTTCGAATGTGAATTATTTACTGGAGTGGATGATTTACACTGAGTTTCTGGCAGATTACACTACTTCCTTCAAATTTGATCGGAGGAGGTGAAGAAAGCTCTATTTTGATGGGAAGGTTAAGACAAACTGTGGAACTTTTGCTAAAAATACTCTCACCTTCCTTTTATGCAAAGGTTATGGTTTTAGTATAAGCAGTAGAAATATAGAGTAAGTGTTTTGAACTCAGGTACTAATACCTCTTTCATTTCTTCTATGGACCTAAAAAAAAAAAATAAGTCCGTGAAGTGAAGTTGCATTTGGTCCTGACCACAGTGAACACTCAACACAGTTTCCTATTTAAGGGTGCTTAAAGTTAAGACTGTACTTCGTAACAGGTGTCATCATTCATTATGGTATATACACTCCTGCTCATTGTTTTAGAGCATATAAGGTCTTGGCACAGAGCAAAGTTTCTCAGCTTTGGCCCTATTGACAACTGGGGCCTGGTAATCCTTCCCTGTGTGGGTTGTCCGCATTCACTGTAGGACTTTCAGCAGCAACCCAAGCCTCTACTTACTAGGGGCCAGCAGCACCCTTCAGTTGTGACAACCAGATAGGTCTGTCCCCTAGGAAGCCAAATCAACCCCACAATGAGAGCTCCTGGCATAGAGTTTAAACTAGCCAAATAGTCACACGAGATGGAGACTTGAATTTTCTTATTCTTCTCAATGACATTTCAATAGTTGTATATCCTAAATCCTTTGTTAAGTGATCAAAAAATTTATTTCCTGTGAATAGCAACAACAAAAATCCAATTTCAGTTTTATGTATAGCCGAAAATGTTTTAACTTCAGCAATATGACAAACTTTTAATCTTTTAGTTTAAAATGTTTAAATTTGAGATTAAGCCTTTTAACTTTATAACTAGTTAATGGAAATGAATCTTCCTATCCTTACTAAGGGCCAAACCTTTTGTCAACTGAGGAAAGCTATTTCTGCTACTTTCAAAAGATCTACTCCCTGCAATCTCAGATCTGCTCCTGGGGGGACAGGGGCAGAGAGAGAGAAAGAATCTCCTGGTGCCCAGAATCTGCTTCAGAGCCCAGGGGTCTTTGCCACAATGTCAAGTATCTGATAGTAAGTCCCTTCTTAGAGCAGATCCTTCTTCTCTAATGTAACTGGCTTTCTTCTTTATTCAAAAGATATATTAACATTAATTTTAGAAAATGCTGCTTTTGCACATTAACTGCTAGTTCTGTGGGATAGTTTGTTGTTAAAAAAAAAAAAAAAGATTATTTATTATTTCAGAGACTGGCCTGAAATGGAAACATACCTAATTCATTTGCTCAAATTTCTCCAAAGGCTGTGGTACCCTAAATTCACGAATAGTCAGAACCTTTCTATATATACATGTAAACAGATATGATTCTGTGTTATGGAAAATGGATGCTGACTTTGCCAATGTTCTACTCTTTGGCCTTGCAACTAACCACTCGTATGTGCAGCCTTATAGGGAATGAGAATTTGGAGAGAGAGATTAATCACTTAATTTTCTATCTTTTTTTCCAGTGCTTCCCAAGAGAATGAGAGCCAAGTTGTCAGGTTTATTCCTCCAATTTCTATGGAAACAATGACTGGTCCTCCTGTTAGCTCCTTTAGTTAAGTTTACTTAGATCTAAAGACAGTGGTTAAAGTTCTTGATTTAATAGTCTTTTTGAATTCTTGAACAATCATGGTTCATTTATCACTCTAAGACAGAAGGAAGCCGGTTAAAGTCAGGTGTATAAAAATGCCTCCTAGCTCAACCTTATGCACTTAAAGAAAAATGCATATGTACACACAGACACACAATAGTCTTTCCAACAAGAGCACAAATGAAAATGTTTTCTCCATCTCATGCACTGCTGTCTTCCAGGCACAAGGAATGAAAGCAACTAGATCCCGGAGAAGAGCAGCCTCTAGAAGTTACTAACATTTCATTCAAATATAAAGATAACAGATACCTACCATCAAAACTGCCTTGCTCAGAAGCAAGGTGCAACAGCTGATTGTATGTTTCAACTGAAGGCTGATAAACAAAGACTCCAGAGTTGAAGCAGTCAGGCCACCCTGGGTCTGGTGCCGCCGACAATTCTTCTCGCTCAAAAAGATCATCGATATTTGCTAGGACCTGATTCGAAGCGGGGAGGGGGTGGGAGGAAAAGCATTACAGAAATGTTCTGCCCCAGCATACTCTTAAGTTCTCCCTAAGTTATCCAACACAAAAGATGCAATCTGCTGCTGATCTTAACCATTCAGATGACAGCTGTCAGGTAGCCTGGGCTTACTCTCCTCCATCACCTGATGCTTTCAATGAGTGGTTTTATCTGAACTTCACTGGCAAGTCTTGAGAGCATTCCTCAAATGCCCAACTGGTCTCAGTTACTATATACATCTTTCCAGTCACCAAAGCCACACTCACCAGAGTATCTGCATCCATGAACACACATTTTGAATACTGCGTAAGTGACCAGCAATGGAGTTTCGTTAACGTGACACCCAACTCAGGCCTCTTCATCAAGGTTAGATGTGCAGAATCGCCACTGTCCAAGACGTCTACGGTGATGACTTCATCGAAGACTGTCTCTAAAACTTTTCTGCCAAAATCAAATCCAGAAAACAGCACTTAGTATCTTTTCAGATAAGTAACAAGTAACCCATCTAATGTAAAATTGTATTCTTATTAGTCTACCCCATCAATTACTAGAGCAATCTGTTACTTTGATATAGTACAATCTCTTAAATAGGTGGTCTTAATTTACTTCAGGCCAAATTGTATCAATTTGCATGGGCAACTCACTTCACTAATAAAAATTGCTTTGGTGAGGATAAAGTACTTGTCTTACACATTATTATAGCAGCACTTTTCTATTATTTATTGTATCACTGAATACCAGGCAAATTACAGAAACCACCTCTCAAAATTTGACTCCCTTTCAAAAGAGCACATCTTTACAACAACCTATGTATTTAACAATGATATTTCATTAGTTACTTCTGCTGATTACTGCATGTTTTACAAATAATGCTAAGTGCATATAATACCTGCAATAAAGCTTATAAATAACCATTTTTGCTGAAGCAGTTGACAGCGAGTCATGTGTCCCACAGGACGTTAAAGGGCTTGGTTATTCAGCTGCCAGTTATTAGAATCAAATACAACCAACACTTACAGTATGCTTAGCACTTTTGGCATAATGAGAGACTCACTTTGGTTTGTGAGGTGCAACACCTCTCCAGGCCCCAAATTAACTCAAGATTTATTTTAGAAAGCAATCTTGAGGTGGGTTAAGTGGAGGTAGACTTAGATAGAACACTAAGCTCAGAGCAGGGGAACACATACCATAAAGCCCCATCATCACTACACATTTATAACAATAGGAAACATGCAGAACAAAACTGGTATTGTATTCTCTGTCTCCACGCTGTAGAAAAAGATGTTTCAGTTCACACAGTAAACATCAGCTTTTTAGGGCACCTGGGTGGCTCAGTGGGTTAAGCCGCTGCCTTCAGCTCAGGTCATGATCTCAGGGTCCTGGGATCGAGTCCCACATCGGGCTCTCTGCTCAGCAGGGAGCCTGCTTCCCTCTCTCTCTCTGCCTGCCTCTCCATCTACTTGTGATCTCTGTCAAATAAATAAATAAAATCTTAAAAAAAATAAAATAAAATAAAAATAAATGGTCAGTGGAGCCATTTACCACAGTAGTGGGTAAGAAAGGGAGACTACATGTGTCTTCTTGCACACACCCTCACTAAACAGACTACAAATTAAGATGTACACATTAGGAAACAGTCTTTTGTGCATTTTCCTAAATTACCCTTTATGAATAAGGTTATTAGTGTGAGAAGTATCTACCAATATACAGCAGCCTTTTCCGAGGTCCTTGGCATGTGCTTTTATTTCTTGTAAAAAAAAAAAAAAAAGTCACAAAAAGGGCATTTTCAATTTCTAAGAGGGATAGGAAAACAAAAATAAACACCTACAGAGCTGCTAGTGTGCCCAGATATTTCTGTAGTATTAGGATCTAGGTAGTTCAATCAAATATTTCAAAGTTTAATACCAACAAATCAAAGTGAACTAACCCAATCAACCAGCAGTTTGTGCCCCCCCCCCCAGGGTGCTTTCTTCACACCATCCCTAGTTCAGAAAATCCTGGAAAATATTCTAGTCTATTAAATGATAAATACAGTTCTTTAGATTACAAATGCCAACTGAGAGTGGGGAAAACTGCTACTTATTTTCAGTCACCTGAGGTTTCCCTGGTTAGAAACAGGAAACAAAGTAGCCCCTCTGCATTTGGGAAAGACATGCAAGTGAAGTGTGAGGACATAAAAGGAATGCCTGGACTAAAACATTTACTCAGGTCATCCTAGAGGCCTTGCTTACAGGAGGGTCCTTCTCACAGCTGGAACCAGTAAGAACATGGGTCAGAACCGTACCTTCCAGAAGGGAGCTCAGCTGGAATAGTTCCCAAGAGCTAGGAAGAGGTTTCAGCTCCAGATATCCATCACTCTGCAATTCTGATCTTTCTCCACCTAGTGCTCAACCCCTGTAAATGGTATGGCCTCAATGCCCAGTGATGCCAGAAATGGGATAAAGACTTCAGAGCTCCACCGACAGACCGGCAGGAAGATCCTCACCTCATGGAGTCGGAGACCTGAGGAGTGGCAAGCACGGCCAGCTTCCTGGTGGTCCTGTGCTGCTTCAGAGACGATCCCAGGACTAAGGCTCCTTTGGCGTAGGCATCGTTTGTGGTCAGTGTCACAAAGGCCTGATCTTAATACAAAGAGAAAGAAAAAACAACAACAACAACAACAACACACTCATTATTAATAATATCCTACCTGGAAAAAGCTACCCCAGGACTCTTTTCAACCACTAACTTGGCAAAATCAGCTCCTTTGAGATCAATTTTCTCTATTAATAAAGGAGCAGCTTCTTTGGGAGTAAGGAAAGAACCCAAGTGCCCACTTTAAGAATGATTCAAGACCATTCTTTAGCATCTTTGGCAATCTCCAACAGGCTGATTAGCTTTAAAAATTAAACCCAATTTAGAGTCTGAACACACAAAATTCTCACACTAAATAGTAGCTTAACACCAGAAAGTAAACCTCAGGAAATTAACAGGTGCTAACAACATCAAGAAGCACATTTTCTGTTTCCTACAAGTACTTTCAGCCAAGCACAAATGCAACTAAGGACCTTAACTGACAGCATCTGAAAGCAGAGGCCATATTCTTCATTCTGATGCTTAGGCTTCTGCCAAGCCTCAGGCTTTATATATTATTTCCTCAACCTGGAGCAAAGGCACCCACACCACCCACCACATCTCAAGTCACTGAGTGTCTGCTCAAATATCACCTTGATAGACAGGCCTTCCCTCTTTAGTGCTTCTATCTAACCAGCAGCCAATCCATGTTAACTGGCTTTAGGGACCACCTCAAAAGCACTAACAAACTTTTCTTTTTTTTCTTTAGGAGAACCAAGCAGCAACCCCTAACCTGTATCCTGGGTCCCCCCAACACACACACACACACACACACACACACACACTCAATCTCGCAGTTGCCAGAAGGGAAGGCAAATACAGGGATTACCCCTCCCTCCAGTTCTCCAGTTCCCTGGAATGAGTCCGAGGTCCACTCTATCTGAGGGGATTCTAGCAAGGCAGTGGGCATCCAAATGTACAGGATACTTAGGATCAAACAGTGACAGGGGTCACTTGGGGGCACTGTTGCCCAACCCAGGAGTTGGGACATTCTGTCATGAAGTCACGCTCTGTCTCATTTTCCCTTTGCCTGTTTTCCAATGTGGAGGCTGGATGGAGGCAGAGTGAATTCCGTTGAGAAGCCAAAGAAAGTTATAGGCTGTCAGGGGGCTACAGCAGGAGCCACGAGCCAGCCACACACCAGAGAGCATCTTCACATCCCGCGGGACACTCTTCCTGAACAAGATAGTAACTAAACTGTAGAGAGACTGGTGTCCCCCACTCCTCAAGGGGCACCAGCTTCCCACCTAGTCACACTCTAGGAAAGCTCAGACCAGTAACCTGTCCTTTGACGTGCCCATCAATCTCTGCCTTGACTTGTTCCTTCAACCCATGATGAGATGGCAACATTTCAGACAGTCTGCCCCAGGAGTATGTAATCTGGGGGATGAGGATTAATGTTTTAACTCAAAAGCGGTCCAGATTGGGGGAAACTGGATTCAAGTTTAATAAGGTAAAGAGGACTCAAGGGCTTCAGGAAGCAAGGATGTGGATACTGTCCAAGATGAAGTAGGGACAGGACAGATGCTTAGGAACATGAGCTGGAACACCTAGCAAACGTTACACAGGAACAGGAGAGACCAGTGACAGCTGGGTAAAAGAGAACACTCCGGCTACATCTGCAATCTTTCCGCACTTCAGCTGCTCTCGTAACCGCGCTATTAGCTTCAGCAACATCGGAAGGACCGACCAATGATCTCCGAGCTTCCCCTTCTCCCGGCAGAGTCAACCCCCGCAACAAGTGAGCCGGCGCACGCCCACCGCCTGCGGCCGGCTCCCCTGGGGCGCTCGCCCAGCTCTAGCTTTCCGCAACCCGGCCCTAAAGGCCTAAAAATAGGCTCGGCGTGGCGGCCAGCGCCCCGGCGGCCGGGAGAGGAGCCGGGCCGGGGCCGCCGCCGTCCGGGCCTTGAGGCCGGCCCTTCCCGGTGTTCCTGCTTGCGGGAGGCGGGGGAGGCCGCCGAGCGATCCCGCCGCGCCCCAGGGCGCGGGACAGGCGCCCCCAGGAACCGGCTCCCCACCCCCACCCGGCCCCGCCGCAGCTGCTCCGCCCGCCCTTCACCGTGAGAGCAGGAGGAAGGGCACGGAGACGGAAGCAGGAACGGGAGCTTCGGCAGGGGGCCCAGGCGCCGCCAGGCTGCCACCCCCACGACAGCGTCCCGGGCTCCGCGCCGCAGCTCCGGCGCGGGGGAGCGGCGGGGCAGCGGCTGACGCAGGAAGCGGCACGCCCGACTGCAGCCAGCCTGCAACTTTGCGGCGGTCCTCGTCCTGCCAGGAACTCCCCCGGGGCTGCGGGGCGGGGAGGCGGCTGGCGGCGGCAGCGCGGGGCGAGGAGCCGGAGTCCGGGGGGCGGTGGGCGGCGCGGCGCGTACCTGTCATGGTGCTGCCGAGGCGGGCGGGAGGCCGCCGCAGCCGCAGGTTGCTGGCTGGGAGAAGCCGGGCGCCGGGAGGGAGCGCGGCCAGGGAGGAGGCGCGGCGGGAGCCGAGCGTGGGCCCGGAGCGCTCTTATAGCGGCCGTCACGTGGCCGCGCACGCTCCCGGCGCCTGCCGGCATCCTCCCTGCTGAGCCGCGGGCGGGGGCCGCCGACCCCCGTCCGCTCCCAGCCCCTCCACCCCAGGGGCTGGGCTCCCGGCCAGCTTCCGAGGGGCACCTGCCCGGGACCTCGCGCCTCCGCATCCCCCCCTCAACCGGGGATTTGGAACGGAACTTTGGGGCAGAGCGTGGCATCAGCAGGACAAACTCCCGAAGAAGCCAAGGGTTAGAGAACTCTAAAAAAATAAAAATCCCAGGTCACTCTACTGACAATAATTCATTTGAACTGTTTGAAATAAACAAGGTTTAAATTTCACTCTTCTCCTAGAATTACAAATCAGCTTCTGGAAAGAGTTTCTGGTATTCTCACAATGGTCTTGTAGCTTTGACTGAAAAATGGAATGAATTCTTCACTGTATTGTTCAGATTCTTGGAGCCCTCTGCATCCATTAGATAAGGTTTTGTTTACTCCTTACAACATCCCCACGAAGTAGGTGGTAGCCTTATTTTACAGATGAAGAAACTGAGTTACGGAAAGGTTGAGTTACTTGTCTGTGGTCATTTCAAGGGGAGGAGGTAGGCAGTTTGGTTTACAGAACTGACCTTCCTACCGGTAAGGCTATGACATCCCAGGTAGCTGGTGCCCTAAAAAAAAATTAGCAAATGATGGTAACTCTGGTTGAGTAATATAGTTGTTTAGGTTAATCTGTTTCACAAATCATGAAAAGGTGAATTTGTCATTTTGCTAGGAAGTTGAGAAATAGCTTTCTATTGTGATCACACCCTTCTCCTCTCCCCATCCCCTCCACCCAGCCCAAACATACCAGGAAAGGAATAGGTAGTACAATTCTCTGCCAACAACAGTTGCTCAGTAAATGCTGAATGGAGGCCAAATAGGAAACTGACAACATCAGTTCAAAAACGAAACAGATACATAAGAATAAGTGTTTTATTGCAAAGGTGGTATTGATATTCTTAAACCCATTATCTTGGTTTCCTCAAGTGTAGGCCTGTACCACCTACATTAGAATTGCTTAGGGCACTTATTAAAATGTTAATTTTTGGTCCTAAGTCCAAACCTCCTGAATCAGAATCTTAAGGGTGGAATCTAAGAATCAGCATCTTAATTATCATTCTTCAGAAATCTCTCTTGATCCCTTCCCCATCTCCCATCATGGCTTGGAAAGACCTCCTGGTTACTTAGCTTTAGAAACTTCCTTTGTAGGAAGTGGAAATATAGGGGCAAAGGTACAATGGAGGGGTGTTCATGTATTCAAACCCTGTGGGTTCAGAAGAGCTGATGCTCTTTAAGGAATATGAAGGCTGTGCGTGAACTGTACCCACCTGGGGGAGGGAAAACAGTGGTGCTCCAGGTCTAAATTGCTTCTTTCTATACTGATATAGAAAATATGAAGTAGTGAAGTGTACATCTTTCACTCAGGAACCCTCCTGCCCTTGATGATTCTTTACCACCTGCTGCTTGACAGCGGAGTGTCCGGGCTGGGCTTTCACAAAGCGTGATGCTGCATCCAAAAGGGCAAAGCCAGCAGATCTGGGGACAACTAGAACAGGAGGGAAAATTTCCTTAGGAACAAGCTCCTCTCTGCTCCATCATCCAGGATGTTTAAGTAAGAGTGGTCATCATAGCCTTCTTTCCTGTGTTTTATGCACATTTTCAGTAAGAGAACGTTTATAGGTTTCACCACCTTAATCAAATAGGGACATTTTGAGGTTGCTACAATGTCTCTTGAGATTACTAATAGTGACGCACCGCCCAGTTTTCCCGAGGCTGTTTTACACTGAGTTTCAGTTAGGTATGAGAGCATGGTGTCTCAAACTTAAAACGGGCACACAGATTTTCTGGGGATCCTGTTAAAATGCAGATTCTGACTCAATAGTTTGGAGTGGCTCTCCCTGGTGATATTCAGGTTGTGGACCAATTTTGCATAGCAAGGTGATTGAACGTTCTGGATTGAACATGCTAGAAGGATTTAGACATAGAGGAAAGACAGACAATGTAGTGGGACAGATGTCTGAGAATTTAATTAACTTTTTTTCCAGTGAAACTTATGTAGCAAAATTTCTAAATCCTTAAAGAAAGATTTAAATAAGTTCAAAAAGAAAACCTACATGGGTACTACCAACTTAGTGTTATCATGACTATTAACCATTTAAACCCATGCTGAATGTGTATATTTAGCAAGGTTGGTCCAAAATTCATTTTTAGTTGGCTTTGGAATGCATTATGTAATTTTTTGGCAGGATACTTAGCCTTCCTAATTATGTTTTGTTTAAGATAATGCTGAAATCAGTTTGCATTCCCTTGAGAACACACACTAATTGATGGTGGGAGCCACTGACCTAGAAATATACTCCAGAGGGCAACCTGCTGGCCTAAGACAAACAGTTCCCACGGACGGTCCATGAAATCAATATACCACATCTGCCCAGACACAGGAACTAACTAGTTAACTAACTACTTAAAATTTTGCCCTTAATTGGTAACACACAAAATCTGTACCTGGAATTGTTGCCAGTGATCACATCCCCATCTAACTCCAACTGAAAGCTTATTTAAGAAATATTATCCTCGGGGGCACCTGGGTGGCTCAGTGGGTTAAAGCCTCTGCCTTCGGCTCAGGTCATGATCTCAGGGTCTTGGGATGGAGCCCCACATCCAGCTCTCTGCTCAGCAGGGAGCCTGCTTCCCCCCCTCTCTCTGCCTGCCTCTCTGCCTACTTGTGATCTCTGTCAAATAAATAAATAAAATTAAAAAAAATATATTATCCTCGGAGGCCCAAAGATGTTCATTCTTCACTTGAAAGCTAGAATCTCAAACTCCACAAGTTGCAAGGGCCTGTTGACTAGGGTATTTTTTTAATGCCTTAAAAATAAAAGACCCAACAACTTTATTAAGATATAATTCAGGGACACCTTGGTGGCTCAGTCAGTTAAACGCCTACCTTCAGCGCAGATCATGATCCCAGGGTCCTGGGATCAAGTCCAGCACCAAGTCCCTTGCTCAGTGAGGAACCTGCTTCTCCCTCTGCCTGTTGCTTCCCCTGGCTTGTTCTCTCAGTCTCTCTGACAAATAAATAAAAAAAAAAATCTTTAAAAAAAGATATAATTCACATACTATAAAATTCAGCCATTTAAAGTATCCAATTAGATGGTTTTGAATGTATTCACAGGATTGTGCAAATATCATCACAATCTAACTTTAGAACATTTCATCACCCAAAAAGAAAACTATACCCATAAGCAATCACTCCACATACTTGCTCTCCCTCAGCCCTCAATAACTACTAATAATTCTGTCTCTATAGATTTGTCTAGAAAGAGTTGCCTATATGTGGCCTTTTGTACTGGCTTCTTTCATTTACTACCTTAATGTTTTCATAGTTCTTTCATGTAAGGGCATGTATCGGTGTTTCATTCCTTTTTATTGGCAAACAATATTTCGTTATATGGATATATGATGTTTTAGTTACCATTCATGAATAAACACGTTGATGAACATTTGGGTAGTTTCCATTTTTTAGATATAGCAAATAATGCTGCTAAGAACATTTATTTGTATCCAAGTTTTTGCTTG